CGGTCCGCTAGGTCTCGGGGGGACGCGCACCGATCCGGCGCTGCCGGTACCGGGACGTGCCTGCTTGCTTGGGGCCGGGGCGGGGAGGATAAATGCTTTCCTCTGGCCGGGTGCGGCAATTTAAGCCTTTCCCCTGTGAAGACCTGAATCTTGTCATCGAGTTTATACGCGTTAATTCTTCCTAAGGAAATAAGATCACCGGGGGTTAAATTAATGTTTCTGAGGCTATGGCTCGCCAGGCAGAAACCCGAGAGTAACTGCCCGCTTCTTTAGAGGAGCGCTGTGATTTTTCCTCTTATGCGGTGAATGACCTCCCCCCCCCCCCCCGGTATCTCCACTCTCAGATTGTGTCTGTTAAGGAAAAAGAAAAACTTGTTTCCCCGGGTGTGTCTCCGCGTGGATAGAGCAGTAGTCCTCGCCATTTCTTCAGACTTCATTAATACAACAAACAAGACCCTAAAAAAAAAGCCAAACCCACCCCGTGCTAATAGGGCACGCGAGCTGTTTAGCATAGTCACGGTTAGCTGTCAGTTGTCTAATATAACAGTACCACGTAGTACTGTTAATATTAATTGTGTGCATCTTTTTATGTAGTCATGTGCTACCTCATTAGTTATTAACCATGGCGGAATACATCTGCAAGAAGAAATGCAAGGTTTTCCGAGGGACCCCAAAGCAAGCAATGTCTTTAAACCATGAGAAAATGCAGTATGTACAGATAGAGCCTTTTACTATGAATGTAGGTAGCCTATATAGTCAGTTAAATCAAAGTGGTTTTGATTTGGGAGTGAGACTAAAATAGAAAAGAGCAGTTGGAGGCAGAGATATTGAGGCTAGTATGTCAGAAAAACCACTACATACAAGTGAGTTATTTCTGATTTTAACATCAACTCCGTGCTACCTACTGCTTAATCCCACTTTTGTCACAGCCTCCCCATCTGTAAAGTGAGAGTCTTAAGTGAAAACTATTGTATAAAAGGCTCTGTTTTTCACAACAGTCTTTAGTAAAGACTGTGTTGTGCAGGCATGAGAAGTGATTTGAAGATGAGGAATAGCCTGAGAAACATTTTGCTTAACCATTTGAGCCGAAACTTGACTCAAAGAGCAAGATTTAACCTACCTTTGCATCTCACATATGAATGGCTACTGAAAGATTGCAGTTCTTATGGCTGTGCATTTCCATAGTTCACTCTATCACAGATTGCATTAGTGCAATTTAGTTTTTACTGACTACTATTTCAGATGTCTGTGTATAATATTTCTGTTTGTCTCTCAGTGCTTTCTGCTCCTTTGCAGTTAGTTTCAGACATATCCAATTTAATTATAAAATATTTAGTGTCTCTTTGAGTTAGGATAAAATGCAGTACAGGTGGTAAAAGCTGCCTGAGAAATCTGCGGACACTTGGATGGCTAGTCCTGAGCTTCGGACTGCCTTGGCTAGGCTGATTAAAGCATCTTCCGCTGGTAAAGCAAAGCACAGTTCTTAACTCGTTTGAACAGGTGCTTCCAGAGTGAGGGACCTTTTTTGCTTTTCCCATAAATGCCTTTCAAACGTTTCATTCTTTATTAGGCCTTTCAGATGTAAGAGAGAAGCTGTTAGTGGGGGATCATCAGCTTGCACTTATGTATATTCATAAATGTTATATAATCTCTTTCCAAAAGGGAGATGTTAAACAATGAACATACGGGAGGATCATTTCGTCTGCTTTGTATGTCAGCTGGTGATAGGTTGAAATGAGACACTTAAACCACACAAGGAAATCCTGTTATTGCAGCGAGGGGCAATGAAGAATACGTCATCCGATAGGAATGCTATAAATTGTTGTTTGCTCTCATGATAAATGTAGTTAAGATTTGGCCGAGTTCATGTATTTGCTCTTACAAGAAGTGTCCACATTGCCTTACTGACCTGTAAAGTAGCACATACAGTCAGTGGCTTAAATGAGACTTCAGGAGTACCAGTATGAAAGAAGAAGGGAAAAGACACAGTGCGTCCCTCCTCACTTTGTAAAGTGCCAGCATGACTGTTCTTAGGTAGGTGTATACCTACCCGTTCTGACTACTAGGTGTTGCACCACCTGGAGAGGAGTTGGTGTAAAGAATGAACCAATGTCTGGAACATGTTTCTTCGAAAGCTTGCAAGTGCATCTGTGCTCTGGCATAGGAGTAAACCAAGGTGATAATTGCCGATAGCTTAAAGCTGTGAGTGGTGGCTGGGTGAACTCTGGTGACTTTCCTGTAAGAACTGTGGATAATTCACATTATGTGCTTTGAAATATCTACAAAAACTTGGAAAATAGGAAGCTTATCCAAAGAGCCAAGAATATGCATAGCAAGTCAGAAGTATCTTGCATCAGACTGCAGCTGTTAAGTGGATGCCCAGATGTAAGCTGTTAAGAACAGCACGAGCATATGTGGTACTTCCCTGCACATATATGATACTCTCTCAGTCTTCAGCTATTCTCAACCCATGGACTTTCCAATCCAGACCTGGTTTCTGCATATTGAGCGGTCCTCAGTGGGTGCTCTTCCGTGAAGCATTTGGTATCCACTTGAACCCTTATAGTTAGTTTAGGCATATCAACATTTTATGTACTGTTTTTACATGTCAAAGATTTTCTTGTTAACATTAGTATTTTTGGTATCTCAAGATAATATCCCATACATGGTGTTCTTAGGCAGACAAGGAATACTAGGTCATCTGTGGAACTGAAGGAGCCCTTGGAACAGATAGGAAAATGCACCTTTTTTATTTAGTTAGGTAGTTATTTTAGTACTAGTACAGATGTAATAGCTTTAAAGTGGTTTAAGTGCATGAAGGCTGAGGTGTTAAGACATTAATTTAAGGAAAATACTGTAGTTATATCCCTGCACAGGTTGTGCAGACAAGTCCTGGTTTGAAATGCCTCTATTAATTGGCATTTTTCAAAGTCAACTTAAAATCATATTTGTCTGTGAGAGTTCTGTGTGATGATCTCTGTGACAAAGATCTGATCCGTTCCTGTTTATGATTGTGATAAATTCACGTACGATTTACCTTTTTTTGCCTGTACAATCAGCTATTCTGACTCCTTAGGCTGGTGCGGGGTTTTTGCTCAGCGCAAGGGTGTGTGGCAAGGCAAGTCACACTGTGCTTGCAGGCGCTATGCCCGGAGTCCTGTACAGCCGGTTTGCGCAAACGTGTAGCGTTTATAGTTACTTGCTTGCAGTTCTCATGACTTCAGTAGGTTTTTCCTCCCTTCCCCACCTCCTTTGTGAGTTAAATTAAGATTTGGATCTTTCAAACTTTACAGAAAAGGAATGATGTCATTATTTTTGTAGTGCCTCATTTGGAGAGAATGCAGTGATTCTTAAAGAAAATAGATGTTATTATTAAATCCTTTTACTGGTTTAAAGTGAATTGTTAGGGCTGCCAGGCATGCAGGCCCAGGGTACCTGGTCCCAGAATTCAGGCCGGGCTCATGGAAAGGATTCCACCACCTTTTCTGCATTTCTTCATTAATGTGGTGAACCAGTAAGAGCACCATTCAGCTGGTGAAAAGAAGTTTTATTCCACGCTGAAAGGGAGCACTGTCATTAAAGTCTTAGGCTTTCATTTCTTTCCATGACGGTGCTCTTACAACTTTATCGGAAAACACCACCGCCCCAATCCTACAGCTTTCCCATATAAACTGTCCAACTTTCTATGATCATACCTACTGGAAGAGCAGTAAAAAATCAACTATATGGTGGCTCAGTTCCCGCATAACTCAAAACAAAATGTTGGCTGTATTTTGCAGCGTGGTGGATTTGTCCTTTTTTGAACTATGCATTTAACAAAAAGGAAGATGAAGGAGGGATATGTTATATAGGATTAATTCTTTGATCATATTTCCCTTAAGCTAACAGAACTGGAATTTACCTGTTTCCAAGAGAATGCAGTTGATCCTTTCAGTACTTTTTCGCCCTCTATTTTGTCTTTAACCTAATGATAACCACCAACCAGTTGTGGAAGAGATGTCATTGCTTTTATGTGTATTTGTATGTAAGTGTCTAATAATAAACTTAAGTCAGGTTTCTATTTTCCAAGCTTTGGTGGAGCTCAGACAAGAATGCAGAGCCTGAGCACGCACACCTAGCAGATCTGGAGTTCTGCCTTACTCCTCGTTAGGGGTGATCCTGCAGGGATGAAGTATATATATAGGGTGTAGAAAACTCATCAACATCCTGTGCAGGTAACTGAGTTGGTGACGTCAATCCCTTTAGGTTAAGCTGTCATTGCTGAAGACATGGTATCTTGGATGTTTAAATTATTAACGTATGAACTGAAAAAATGTAACTTTTTCTCCAAGAAATGCTTTCTCTTGCTCAAGTCTGAGGATGGTAGAAAACCCTAGCATAAAAAGAATGGGCAAAATTCATACATTTTGGGGCGCGGATGTGCATGTGCATACATATGTCTAATAATTCCTAGTAAATATCCTTGCTCTATAAAGCAGCATTTTTTTTTTTTTTTCTTAGTGTTACACATTACCTCAGAGTTTGGTTTAATTTTCTTTGTGGAGGAATGAATGGGGTCTGTTTCCCGCCCCCCCCCTCTTTTAGAAATATGACCAACAGCTAATTCTGTGCTTTCTTTTGCTTCCTGTAGGCTGGCACCGATGCGATTATATACACTGTCCAAACGGCATTTTGTTCTGGTCTTTGTAGTATTCTTTGTTTGTTTTGGTTTGACAGTCTTCATAGGAATAGCAGGTAAGGATGCTGTCTTTTTAAAAAATTACAGTTCTTGTATGCTTTGACTAAACCTGTTGGTATTTACAGATGTATTTAAATGCTAATGAGCTTACTGTCCCTGAGACGTCTGAGGAAGCATTACTTTTGACAAGGAGGGGGAAGTGTATCTTCCATCTCATTTTTTCATAGGAGCACTACCTACACAGATTTGGTATTTGCAACTGCTTTGCAGGGGAGAGTCAGTAGAGTAAAACAAAACCAGCTTCATTGTAACATAATTTTTCAGCAGACTGCTACATTAATTTTCTTCTTTGTATTTCAATCTGTAAAAAGGTGGTGCTAACACTTGATTTCCTGTGAGGCAGTTGATAACTGTTTGTAAAGCCTTCTAAATGTTTGGGTGATAAATACCACAGAAATATAAAATATTTTAGTAATGTAAAAATATGAACTTCTGTTGTCAAACATATATGCGCTTAGGTCTCTGGTTTCAAACCTTTGTGGGAGTCGTGACGTGATCTGGGAGGCTAAGCACTTGGTGCCTGGTTACTTATCCTGGAGATCAGAGAGATTTGTGGAAGTCTGGTCAACAAAGATGCAGAGTGTCATTAGGCAGATGGAAAGCGTGGAAGCCCTCTGTATTTCATGCCAGAGAGCTTTTCCAGGTCTAAAACATACTTGAAAAAGAAGTCGGTGTGCTGTCACTGCAGCGTTAATAAGCTAATACTCTGCTGTCAGGATAGTTTTGTCAACACAGAAGTTAAGTGACAGACGGGGAGAGGGGAAAGGAGGGACTTGTACTCATTAAGCAACCCGCCCCCCATGTAAGAATTATTTAAGGACACTACCACCTCCCCCCACTTTACTGCTTATTTCCACGTCACCCAGCATGTTCTCCTGTGCCACGCTCTGACACCTCTTGACCTGTCTGTAGGGTTGTCTCTACCTCTGCCCTATCCTTCACTTCCTTTAGAATGAGATGGGCTGCCCAGGCCTGCGACTCATCTGCTCCTGCCTGCCTTGGAAAGAAGCGGGGGCGTTAATTGGATGCAGTTGTTTGGGCTTTTTGTGCCCATCTGTGCATTGTAAGCAGTACATTCTTCATGACAGCATTAAATAATAAGATTTGTCTGTGAAATAAAACCTTCTTTCCGGCTGTTTGATTTATTGTAGCAGCCTAAGGTGCAAACAGACTTTCAGTTCATAAAGGTTAATCACTGATATTCCTGTGACTTGCCTAAGGATGCTGAAGGCCATTATTTGGCCACTAAAACACCATATAAATACATTTACAAAAATGCATTTTATATGAATGATAAAGGAAAAAAAACTGGAATTATTTAGTGTCATTTGTCTATTTGGCTTAAAAAGTGAACCATATTTGTAGTTGTGTATTTATACTGTCCAGTTGCAAGAAATGCAAGAAAGTTGTTTTACGTAAGACTAGGCAAAAAGCAGTGCTCCTGGAAGAGAAAACTGAGCATTTCATTCTTACACGGTAGCAGAACCTGAAAGAGAGACGTGTTGGTGTGTCGCATTGCATCTGCCTGCAGAGTGATCTGATGATGTGGTTGCCTTTGGTCCAGGGGACTTTGCTGCTGTAAGCAACGCTTGGTCATCTGTACCCTGCTGGGGTCCCAGGACTCGCCTGTGATCCCCTTCAGGAAGTGGCACAGCTGTGGGATTCTTGTCCTTGTAAGACTGGTTTGCTGGATAGTTTTGTTGAGAAAGTGTGAACACAGTTCATTATTATAACTTAATTATTTTTAAAAGAATGCTGTTTACCTTGGGAGGACACCCACTGAACACTTAGTGTGATGTTTTTCCCAGCTTTTGTTGACAGCTCCTTGCTTCCTGTGAACAGAGGGAGGGGCGCTAACAATGGTGTGCTCCCTCATTAAAGGGTGCAGTCTGAGCAAAACTCACCAAACCCATTAAGTAAATGAAAAAGTGGGAGATACATCCGTATTTTCTGTGCTACTTGAATATGCCATTGCCCATACTCAACATCTCTATCTGCAGTTTGGGAAGCCTAGCAGAAGTCTTGCTTCTCATTTGAGAAAACAAGACAGTTTAATCTGAGGTGGCTGTTGCTCTTCAGTTCTTGTAACCCAAGACAGATGCAGACTTGTTTCGTTTTTTTCCCAAGTTACACTCACTTTCTTTCCCTTTTCCCAAGGGAAAGGGAAAGAAATGTTATCTTTGGGGTGAGACAAGTAGACAAGTGCAAGGAAAAGAGAAGGTGCAGAGCTCATTTTCTGTACCTGTGCAGTTTTCCTGTTCGGCGCCTCAGGGTGGTTCTTTGCTTTCAGATGTGATTCTGTTAACTGAGCAAAACTGAAAGAAAAACAATAACAATGTAATTTAATCACCATCATTTTGGTCAGTTGCTTTTAAAAGCTTTAATATATTGCTTGCTAGAGGAGTAGCAGTTACAGCAGTAGAACCTCATTATTTTTTTGGTTGCTGCTTTTAAAAACTGGGACTATGATCTCTCTGCCCCAGTATTGGTTCATATATTCTGGTAAAAAAAAAAACCTTTCTAAAAAGGCTCATTCTAATGTTTTTGTTAAGACTTAATTACTGAAATATGATGACTTATCAACTGTGAGCTCTTACTGAAATTGAGTTACGCTTTTCAAAACAAAAATGCCTTCCAAAAATCTGCCCTCTTCATATGTACTTGAGAACTGAAAAGTTCAACGGTACAGAACTGACTTTATAGTGGGTGGCTGTTAGTGAAGTTGAACTGTAATTCTAATATGCAGCTTTGAGTGTGATGGGTGAAATTCTTCATTTTTCCATTTGAAGTCTGTAAGATGGTTAATATTGTAATTAGAGTGGTTATAGAAGCCCAAGCAATGCTGCATGTTTATAGCTGTCATGACAGCTAACCTAAAATACTTCTTGCACAGAATGATCCCATGTTGCTCATTTATAAACTTCCTCTTTTCCACTGTTCCTCTGTGGTATCTTTGAAGTCCGTGGTCTTTGTGAAAAACTGCTTTTCTTGCATAATTGTTTTAATACTAAGTTTGTGGCTGAAACAGCATGTTTTGAGGATTAATAAATTACAGTAAATTGCCAGACCGAATACGTAAGGGGAGAGACCATTTGGACAGAGAAATCTTACTGTGACTGGGAAGCCTCTAGAGTGACCCAGATACACACATACACGTCCTGCCTATGTCCCCACCTGCTATGCATCTCCTCTGTGTTTGTTCACACCCCGGTATATAGATACAGACCTTTTCCTACTCTTCCTTTTCATTTTTCTGGGTTAGTCCTTTTGTGTATGTACATATGCATGCGTTCCTCTTCTCCCCAGTACCATGTGTTCTTGCATACCTAAGAAGGCTAAGGGGAAACCGTACCGCTGTCTACAACAACCTTATCAGAGGATACACAGAAGATGGGGCTAGACTCTTCTCAGAGGTGCATGATGGTAGGGTGAGAGGCAACAGACACAAGCTGGAACACAAGAAATTCCAGTTAGATATTAGGAATTTTTTTCTTACCGTGAGGGTGGTCAAAAACTGGAACAGGTTGCCCAGGGAGGTTGTGGGAGTCTCTATCCTTGGAGATGTTCAAGACTTGACTGGACGTGGCCCTGAGCAAACTGATCTAATTAAACAAGAGGGTGGACTAGATGGCCCCTGGAGGTCTCTTCTAACATAAATTAAGATTTTATAGCTTCCCATTTACCGCATACAGAACTAGAGGTAGGGTGTGAGTGGATGGATGCAGTTGATCAGTACATGTTAAGTGTGTGTGTCTGTACTCGGAATGATTGGAGGAAAGGTTGCATAAAAAGTCTGGTAGCGAGCTGAACATCTCCCACTACAATTGGACATGAAACTCCATTGATTAAATGGATTGTCTGTTTTAGGATAAATTGTTTGTAGAACTTTTATGCAATTATGTTTATTTATGTGATGATATACATAATATATTATAGCTCCAGATTTCTATAGAAAAGGAGGGGCCCAATCTGAGTAGACTGAGAACTGTTCCTAAACAAACATGTGGGTATCTTGGCTTGAACAGACCAATGTGATGAAAATCCAGCACTAGCCAGAAAGTACTGTTATTGTGATTGTACAAGCAAGTACACTACACGTACATAAAAAGGCATTAGCATCATGCACTCAAATACAGCGGGATGTTTGCCCTGGTACCCGAGCCTTGAGTGCAATGCCTTATGGACGCTATGCTCTGTGTAAATCAGGTAGTGGTAGCAGTTTGGCTATAGAAACTTCAGAGTGCAATTAAATATGCTGGGTTTTGAGTGGTTTTTGCAGCCCTTGTTGAGCTTCAAGTTGCTGTGATGACAGTGCCACTGGTGCTTAGCTAGCTTTTTCTGCAGCTGAGTACTTTCATGACTGCAGTGTACAGCTTAGCTTGGGAAAAATACCGTGTGGTTTGTTGTAGTAGTTTAGAGTACACATGCAGGGCTTCTGACATGGAGTTCTTGAATTATAATCTACTTCCTATTTAATCATGCCTAGAAATACTATGGCAGAGAGGCTTAAAGGAACATTCAGGCCAAGTTTATTAATGATATTGAAATGGCTAAGTGATTTACCCTTCAGCTTAAACATCTGAAAAGTGGGATACTATTTACCTGCTTTGCAGGGAGGTATTTTTTACAGTCTTTTGAAATCCTATATTTACGTCATTACTTATTGGTAATACACATACTTCAATATTGTTTTCTTTCTTCCTTCTTATATATTGTGTAGGTCCTAATGTAATTGAAACTTCTGTAGCAAGAACTGACTTAAATAACAGCCTAAAGGTAAGAGTTAATAAATATCGTTGGATTACATGAATGGCTTTATTTGATGTCAGTAATGTTAAACATTCCCCTCCTTCCCCCCAATTATTTTAAGTATTTAGTTTTTAACTGGAAGACTTCTTGGCCACATGGTGCTTTCCAGTTTGAAATTGAACATGCAATATTGTACTATCACTGTGTTATTTCATGAGTGGCTCAGCAGCAATTTCTAGTCTCTTACTTTTGTGAGCAGGTAAGGTAGAGAATTCTATGATGTTTCTGCACAGCAATTTGCGATAAAGTAACACTTGAGTGTTGATAGGATTCCCTGGTGAGTTCACGCTGGAGATTCTTGTAGGGGGTCCAGAAACAGAAATTGAGAATATAAACTGAAAAACAATGCTCTCAGCGGCAACTAATGATATCCCTCTTGTGATCTTCCTTTCTATCAGGAAGGAATATTTCTTTTTCTTGTTAATTGTTCACTGTCACGTGACCAAGACATGGGATCTGGCTTCCTAACATGAACCTTCACATTCATTTTCTTAAAAGCTTTCATATTTTAGTTTTCAGTTCTTGCATTTTTATTTGTCTAGCTCTTCGCTGTCAACCTAATATCTAAAGTAACTTTTGTGAAAGTGCCAAAAAAGGTTTTGTTGTTTTGTTTTGAGGTTTTTTTTAAGGTAAATTTTCTTTAAATACACTGGAACATTTCTTTTTTTGATCTGTTAGTCACCTATATATGTTTGGATTGCTACTGTATTCTGGGTGGATTTTATTTTTAAAAAGCATATTTTTATATCAAATAAGAGAAGTCTTTCCTGCATGTAGGTTTTATCTGTTAATGAGAACTTCCATGCTTTTGAAATGAATGTGGGATTTTTAGAAAACCTAGTGGAAAAATAGTTGTTGTTTTCATAATTATAGTTGAACAGGTTTAAAACTGTGTAGCAGATGAGGGGTCACAAATCTGACTTTTGATGTAAAGTGCTAGAAATTACTTTTTATTTTCAAGCTAGGTCTCAGGATTTTGTTTTTCATATCTGAACTTTTCTGTTTTATTGCTGCTGCTTTTATGTGCTTTAAGTAGTCGTACCTTTCCTTACTTCAGTGCTGTGCAAAATATGTGTGCTGTTTAAGCTACTTCTCTGGAAGACTTATATTTGAGCTGCTTATCATGCTGTCCATAGTGTAGCACATATTGTCACAAAATATTGTCACAAACATAATTAACATGCCTTTCATCATTGTAACTACAGATATATCATGTAACAGAATAATGGCTGGTGCTAAACTTGTGGGTTTTTTTACAGCTGAAGCCATTTAATTTAAGTTCACCACCACTGTCTACTTACAATCAGCAGCTGTGGCTGACCTGCATAGTTGAGTTGGATCAGCACGATGGTGAGAATCTTACCTAATTCTCAGGAAACTGCTATAGCAACCTGTATATGGTATATTGTATCTTTAACTTCATCTGTCACATACGTGATCCTGTTGCTTTCTGGCTATGGTTGGTGGGTTTTTCCTCTGATACAGTTTCTCCCCCTCCACCCCTTGCCCCTAGTAAAGACGTGGACAGTACTCATCTTGAGAACTGGAAACAACAGGTATATGGGATAAGTTCGTTATTTCTGTGAAAGCAGTAGTATCTAGAGAATCTGTGTCTCTCTTGCTTCATTTTGGGGGGAATTAGATGTGTAGGTTGTAATGATATTAATTTTTCAATAAAAATTCTCTGTAAATATGTGAGAAATACTGTATTAGTAATTGTTAATCTGTTAAGATTCAGTACAGGGCATTTGTGAATTACTGCCTAAGCATATAAATAAAAAGTTTTGTGGGTTTTTTTATTAATATACTGGACCCCTACTCCAGTAAAGTATAACTGAATAACTTTGAGTTATCTTTGGATATCATAGGTGTTTTAAACTATATTTGGAACTCTATTTGAGATTTCATTTCTGCATGTAGCAATAGCTTAATGTTTTCTCTTTTAATTACAGTATCCCTCAAAAAGAATGTTACTATGATAGTCAAAGTACTTGGAGTGGTGAAGGATGGAAGCACACCATATGTTAATAATCAAGTTCACAATCGGACAAGATTACTCAGTTGTGCACAAGTATGTGCCTGCTTAAACAAAACTCTGATGCAGTACATTTTCTTTAAATCTATTTGTGTACGTTACATTACATTGCAAATGAGAAGAATATATCTGTTAAGCACGTCTCAGGAAAGACTCTAGAGTATAGTTTTATTTATAATTGCAACCTAGCTAGTAATGCTGACCAAGATACCTACCTATCCGTCTTTTTCTGTTTACTTCTGTGGCTTGTGTCTATTACCCCTTAAAGACCCCTCTTTCTTTTTAGAGTAGCTCTCTGCCAGCAAAGCAGTGTGTCCTGCTTAGTCACCTAAACAGACTTAGCAGTACTGAAGAAAAGAATATTGTAGTAGAAGATTGGATATAGGGCTCCAGAGGAGAAAAAAATTCTCCTCCAACACCTGGCAGAGAGTCTGGTTGAAATCAGCTGGCATCTGTGTTCTGAAAAAGCCAAATTTCTTGCCACCTGTGAAGAAATGTTTAAAGTTTTGAGTTTCTAGTATAATTTTCACTGAAATTTTTAAGCTTAGAGACATCCAAAACAGCTTCTCCAGATGTAAGTCCTTTAGGAAGGGCATAGCTGAAGTTTTTTTGCTAAGCATATAGGGTAAATCCAAATGTTTTCTTTTTATATATATACACATATATGAAATCTGCTGAAATTCATGAACGGTGTTCCATTAGATTTAATTACATGCAGCCAGGAGAGCAATATGCTTGGGTTTTCTCTTTCCTCCTGTTAACTTTCAGAAATGAGTTAGCACAAGATAGCCCCATCTCACAACTGGATGACCTAGAGCTTGACTGACAGAGTTATTCAGATCCTTCCTGGTGCTGCACGCAGTTGCTTTCACCAGCTTATGGGAAAAGCTAGCCTTGCTTATTGGGTCAACCTTTCATCCTGCTGACTGGCTTTATCAGTTTCTTCTGCTTTGTCTGGTATCTTTCAAGAAATTTGTTATCTGTGGGTTTTGTTTGAGTCTTAGTCTGACTGATCAAGATTGGTAAGGCATATAATAAATATCATCAATATCTGACCATTTAGAAACAAATTCTCCAACCTATATTAACAGTGCATATTCTGGAATAAATTGAAGGTTTTTACATACTATTCTTCACTGTATGTGTTCACAGAAATGCAGTGAAATCATTGTTGCTCACCTTGGCTACCTGAACTACACTCAGTACAACATATTTGTTAGCTTTGAAGATCTAAATAAGTTAACGTACACCATCCAGAATATTACTTTCACAGTAAGTATAAAGTTTTATACTAGCAAAAGAAATCTCTTTAATTACTAATGCTGTAGAAGTCTGCTTTAACTATAATAAAAAAGTTATCTCATTTTTGAAGATAAATATAAAGATGCATGATAATTAATTGTTCTGTCACTACTAATGTCGGAACTATTATAGCATTTGCTGTTAAGAAGGGTCTAGACCAATTTTTTTAACTCTATAAGGAAAGATTTTTCTTTCAGAACTGTTAATGCTGTTTTCTGGAACACATAAATCTAGTCTAATTCCTGGGAGATATTTTTAACAGTATGCAAGCTAGACTAGAACATCCAGTTTTCTTCATTTGCTTATAGAGAAGTTGCCTCTCTAAAGCGTGGTATCTTTTCCAGCCTTTCCAGTAGGTGTATCTGAATTAGCAAGATTTTTCCAGGCTTTACAAAAGCATGGGCTAGAAAGATTTAACAAACGCAAAGAAAAATGATTTTTTTTTTCTGTGCTTATGAGGAAGAGAAAAATGTTTATTCAGCTAAAATAAGCAGACTAATAAAATAATTCACTAAGATAATCCCTAGTGAAATAACTAGCTCAGTTCATAGTGCTAAAGATTGCTTATAAAACAGTTACATCATCAGTGTGTGCTGACTGGCTCCAGAAAGAAATTTAGAAACATTTGCATAGGGAGAAAATGGAACTAAACCAAATTTCTAATACAGGTTACTGTGGTTTATTCTACCTGTATGCAATGTTTGGTATGTCAGAGCAGGTAGCAAGCAAAAATCTTACTGTAAAGCAAAAGTGTTTTTATATACTAAATGAACCTCCTGAATATTAATATTTGTAATGTTCTAGTGCATAAAGCACATCATTTAAAAATAAGCTCTAAGGGGAAAAAAAACCCAAACTCACAAACCCTTTGCTTAGTCAGAGATTTCAAACAGGACAAAGTGTTGGAGCATTTATAGTTGTACGGTTTATCATCTTGCTTAGCAGACTGCCTTTAAGGCAAACTTGTGCGCAAAACCAAAAAACCCAAACCCAAAGCCCTGCTTTCCCACAGCAACTAAAATTGTCAATTTATTTCATGATTACAATGGTTTATGGTGATCTCAGTTGAAATCATGGATTGCCTCTTGTATAATGGGATTCTCTACATATAATTTTCATTCTACATTTATGGTTTAAAAAGACAAGACAGAGGATGACAGATTCAATACATTGAAAAGTAAAGCTTCTTGTCCAGGTGGGCAAAGCATATGTTGTACCAGGGAGTTTATATTTCAAAAGTGGCTTCAAAAGAGAAGCATGCCAGGTATGAGAGAAATTGTCAACAGAGCAGAGTTTATGCAAACTGACATGTTGTAATTAATATTTGTGCCCTTCTAGTAATCAGAGAAGATGAAGGAGCTTTTCCTCCTTAACCTATGAAAAAAGTTCTTTACTTCTGGTTGGCTCATTTATTCTTCCCTTACTTGATTTTCTTTTTTTCCTCTTCTGACACAAGAGAATAAGCTTTAAGAAAACGAACCCGTTACAGGAAGCATGCCTGTACCTTATCAACCTCTTCATAATCAATTTATGCATCTGACCTTGGTAATAAAGAAGAACATACTGGATTTACTCAATTATTGGCATTCAAACTTTGAATGAAAGTGCAGCTGAAGTCAGTGAAGAATATCCTTTTTGTCCTGAGAAGTGCTTTAACATATGACAGCACACTGAGTATGTTACAAAGTGGCAGGGTAAAAGAGAAGCAAGGGTATTAGGCTGCCTTGGTTATCTTTTTGTCAGATAGTCCTACGGGTGTGAGTTTATCTTTGTCTTTCCACGGTGATGTGGTGGAACTCGGTTATACCTTTAAATTTTGAAAAGCCAGAGAACTTTTCAGTATCTGCAGAAAGTGCTAATTATTGATGTCGTATGTACCCTGTCAAAATATTGTTCATTGGGCTATCTTTCTTTTCTTTTCCTGTAGTGGAAGACCTACAATCCGACTTTTTCTCAAGTGGAAATATGGTTCCGATTTGTCTTCGTAGTTCTTACTTTTATGGTCACGGTAAGATTTTGTTTTAGTTTTTCTGGAGTATATTCTGTAGGCAGTTGATAACACTGCTTTGTAGTGTTGTGTTTAGTAACTTAACTTCAGGCAGCAGAGTTGAGATATCACTGAATGGGTGTAAAAAATGTTTCTAAAATACTTATGTAGTTGCTGCTTTTGTGTTTTTACAAGTGGTATTGAAGGGACATTAAGAAAATAGGATAAATGGGAAAACTTGTTTTTCTAAATTCTGATTTTAATTGAACAGAAAGACTTTTGCTTAAACAAAGGAAATTGTAATTCAGTGCTAGAAAACATATTTTTTTGCAGTGCAGGTAGGCTCAGACATTGGAATAGGATGCCCAGAGTGTGGGTTCTCCGTCTCTGAAAATGAGCAAAACTCAGTTGAATATGACCTTGATCTAACTTTAAAGTTGTCACTGCCTTGAGTGTGGGGATGGGCCAGATGACCTCCAGAGGTCCCTTACAACCTAAATTATGCTACGATTTAGATTATCTCTCCCCTCCAACCTGGTTTGGCCCCTGGAAAAGAAGTGTTTGGAAGAAAAACCAACATAAAATCTAAAATTCAGAATTTTCAGAGTAAGGACACTAAAGCACTGAACACTTGCATAGCATTTTTCTCACATAGATGATGTCACTTGGCAGGTAACTGTGAATGTGATATGGAATCTGTTTTTTTTTAAAAGTGAGTTTAAGTGGAAGTTGTTGGTAGCGTGTGACCAGTAATTAGGCTACATTTTTTCATACATTGTTTTTCAGAGTAAGGACACTAAAGCACTGAACACTTGCATAGCATTTTTCTCACATAGATGAGAATTTGCATTGCGGTAAGCCAGCAAACTTGAAGCAGAAGTAGAAGCTAGGAGATGTGGCTCCTGTTTTACAATGTTCTCAGTTGCAAAGACCTCGTGAAGTAGCCTTTGTATTGTGCTGTGTTATCTTTTTGCTCTGGTAAAACCATTAAGGCTGTATTCCTTCCATACAAATTTTTGTTGTTGTTTTATAGTGTCTGTTTGCACATTCCCTGCGGAAATTCTCCATGAGAGACTGGGGTATTGAACAGAAATGGATGTCCATCCTCCTTCCCCTCCTGCTGCTTTACAATGGTACTTGTATCCTGGAATTTTTAGAAAAGCTCCTTTTTTTTTGGGGGG